AGAGTCCAGTAATGGCCGTGAAACCTGAAACGATGGACGTGATCAGAAAAATAAGTTTGAATTGATAGAGCGCCGGTGCCGCGCGCTGTGATAGTTCCTTTATCGTCCAGCTGCGCATAACAGCCAAGCATGAGAGCAACAGCGGTTAAACCTCAGAATATTAAACGGGAATTATTATCGCGACGAATTATTACGTCGTTCGATTCGGAACAAATGTTACGTCGGATTCAATCCGTTGGCTGCGTTTGACGAGTATACTCGTCAAGGGGAATGACAATATCTTGTGGCATGACGAGTATACTCGTCGTGCGTCAAAAGTAGTGACCATTGGTTATATAGCTAGTTAGCAGTGTTTGACGAGTATACTCGTCATGAAGAATTGACAATATTTTGTGTCATGACGAGTATACTCGTCGTGCGTCAAAAATAGTGACCATTGGCTATATAGCTAGTTAGAAGCTAGTTTGACGAGTATACTCGTCATAGAAAAATGGTAGTATTTTGTAACATGACGAGTATACTCGTCATAGGGAAGTGGCAATATTTTTTTGTCACGACGAGTATACTCGTCACGGAAAGATGGCAGTATTTTTTGTCACGACGAGTATACTCGTCACGGAAAGATGGCAGTATTTTTTTGTCACGACGAGTATACTCGTCACGGAGAAATGGTAGGATTTCGTGTGACGACGAGTATACTCGTCACGGAGAAGCGACAGTATTTCGTACCACGACGAGTATACTCGTCGGACGTGAAAAGTAGCAAACATCGGCTATTAAATAATTTAGCTGTTTTCGACGAGTATACTCGTCGCGCGTATAAAGTATTGTTAAAATAAAAAATTGATCTAACCAGTTAGCTCCGTTTATAAAATAAAACCGTCTTTTTTTATCCAATATTTCAACAGTGACACTCAGTCTATGTTTGACGAGTATACTCGTCATCGCTCGATTCTCGCAACTCACATAGATGCTTGCTCCGAAAAAGGAACGCCACAGCTAAATAGATAATTGCAACTTGGATCGAGACATATAATAAAAATTCAGAGACGGGTCTAAAGTGACCTGGCTCGTCACGACGCTCATCTACGTCGGCTATACGAGAATTAACTGCCGAATATGCAGTCTCGCGACCAAATCGCTGTGCCGTCGGTTTGTTATCGGAACGGGACGCCATCAAATTTTTGTTTCATTTAAAAATCAAAATAAAAGAACACCAGCAAGGGAACCAAAGGCCTGGCAATTGGTGAACGTTCCACAGCGAGCGGGCCCCGCGCTGCTCTGAGTCTTTTGTCCGCGGGCTGCCGGTGGCTGTCCGCATCAGCTCCATCGCATCGATCGTCGAATAAAAGTTCCACGGTTTATGGTGAACAGCAACGAAATTCTTTCTGGACGATTCCGATAATTCTGGACGATGATTAACTGCTGTGCCGGGACGCGCCGTCGTCTTCCTGAAGGACCTTCGACTTCGTTCCGCTCCCACAGAAGAAAAAAGCACGGGCCGCGGGGACCTACGCGCGAGATTTACGGCATCTGAATTTCTGCGTTCCTCTTCCCTGGTACCCCGCCTCACCCCCTCCCCCTCCCCGCGTCGTGGACCCGCGCGTTTATCGTTTCGGCGCTGGTGGGCGAACGCCTCGGATTCCAGTCGGACGACGTTTTCGTCCATTGACGCCGGACTCTCGTCAAAGGGCACCCTCTCGCGCCCTTCCTAACGACTTTCGGCAAAAAATAAGAATCCCGATCCCTGTCGAAGGACACGCGTGTATACGGCGTTCCATAAAATCGGGAACGAATCGGACATCAACGGTGCATTATGGGCCCTTTCGATTGGATCCGGGTTTGAGCTATTTGGGCCCGGTCTGCCTCTGAAACTGAGCAAAGGAACTGTTTGTGCAAACAAGAAAATTGTTCAGGCTGTCGAGATTTACAATATGTTTTAATTTCATCAAAATCGAAGGAGTGTGCCGTGGGTTAGGTCCAAGCTAGGTACGGGTTAGGTTTAGCTTAGGCCTTCGTTGTTTGCTTTAAAATGTACACTCGGTACATTGATGGGCTACTCAGATTTAATTGAAATTTGATATATGCTTATAGTGTTGTCAATTTTACAGATTTTGAGTCAATAATTGGATTGTTAGTTAGCTCTAGGTTAGTACTGGGTTAGTAAATCATTTATTTGTTTATAAAGTTTTATTCCGTTATGCAGATATCTTCTCCAAATTTATCTTAAACCTATTCTTTGCTTCTACAATAATTCTCGCAATTTTATAGATTCCCAGTCAAGATAGAGATCTGCGTTAGGTCTGTATTAGGTCTGCGTTAGGTCTGCGTTAGGTCTGCGTTAGGTCTGCGTTAGGTCTATGATAAGTCTATGTTAGATCTGCGCTAGGTCTATTAGGTCTCTTTAGGTCTCTGTTAAGTCTGCGTTAGGTCTGTATTAGGTCTCTGTTAGATCTGCGCTAGAGCTATTAGGTCTGTATTAGATCTACGTTAAGTCCATGCTAGGTCCATGTTAGGTCTAGGTTAGGTCTCTGTTAGGTCTAGATTAGGTCTAGGTCAGGTCTCGCAAACATAATCCACTGTAAAGACTACTTGTCCATTGACTATCAAAATATTTCCCCATTCCCGAAAAAAATTAATGCCGCCAAATCCGACTCAAATTGCAGAAAAAAAATGGACGTCAGGTCTCGAAACATCGTGCAAACGTACAGGAGCGTCAAGATGATTGCTCGGCGCCCCGTTCCACCGCCTCGTTCCGTCGCGATAGCGAAAGATAAATTCCCGCAATGATGAGAGATCTGGCTGGTCCCATCCGCCAGGTACACCGGGCCCCGCTGCTCTCCTCGATCCCCTTTCTTTTTCGCCGTTTTACGGTCTAATCGAGGCTCGATTTATTTATTCACGGGCACGAGATTCCACGGCGCGCTAGCCGGTATGAATTAAGGGCGACATTAACGGCCCGACTTTCTGCCGTATCTTTTGATACCGCGTGGACCCGGTGCGCGAGCGCGCGCGCGCTCGCGCGGTGTCGCGATGTCTCTTTCTCCCGCTATAAACTATCTCGCGTGGCGATCATTATACAGGGGGCCACTGGTTGTCGATGACAAATTTCAACGAGCTGCTTGGTCGCGGCGGCGCGTCGTTCGTTCGGCGGCCGTGTGCGCTTGTACAGCGGCAGCGAAAAAATACTTGTAAATTTTGTTCGGCGAGGTTGATTTTTTGTCATTTATCCCGATAATGCTGAAATAAAATTGTTTTCTGAATATCGCTGTAACAATAAAATAAGTAGAAAAAAAATAAATCGTGGGATTAAAAGTCGACTTGTCACGTTTTTTATTCAGGATCGATATTTAACAAAAAATCTAAAAATATAATGATAATGCTTGCGACGTTCTTTCGTTACATAATTAATACAACATTTTTTCAATTTTTTATAACGAGGTGCTGCTATGATAAAAATGTGAATGCGGTGCCTCGATCGCTGCGCGACGAGATCTGCATTTAAAAAAAATTGAATTTGCCACCAAAAATTCTGAAAAAATTCAGAGCGTAGTGTCCCACCACATAGCAGATTCACGAATTTTTTCATAATTTTCTGCCGGTTAGAACGGAAGAAACAGCGCATAATCTGTGACTCCGATTTCCCCCTATAACTATCGCCCTCGGGTTAAGCACGTCGAAAATTGCCACAGAAGCACCCTGTGTCCCATTTCGAACGTTCCGAGCAAAAGTCGTTTCGGTCGAGCCGCACGTTCGACCACCATATCCGGCACTGTGCCCTTTACCGTAACTCGTTCGCTTGTCCCGGAACGGATTTATCGCCTGGCTTGCCATTCGGCTGCCACGGTATTAACATTAATAATCGTTCGAGCCGCAACGGCCATAGATCTCCGGACGCGTAAATATTATGACCGTGGGCCTCGCGGTCGCTGGAAGTTTTCGGCGGCCGAAGAACCGACCGACCGGAAGAGAGAAAGAAACGCGGTGCTTTAACAAACCGAAGTTATTAGCGGCCGGTAATGCTGGCCTAATATGAAAGTTACGAGCTCGTGGAGCCGGCCCGAAAGTGGGCCCATAAGTTACAATCAACCGGATACTGCCCACGGGGGCCCGAAAGTGCTCCGGTTAAATTACTCCGGGGGTCCTCCTGGCAGTACAGGCTCCCTCGTTTTCGCGGCATGAGGTCCTCTAATCCGTCTCGCATGCGAGCCACACCACTTGTCCCGCGGTTTGTGTCCAACCGCGACAATTTAGGGCCGTTAATGTCGTGCGGTGCTGTCAGGCTCCGCTGGGAAATGGTTTTTGGGTGGGGAATGTTCTGGATACTGTCGCAACGACAGCTCGGGTTGCTTGGTACACGCGGCGCAACGCCATCTGTGACGCGGTGCGCGACGTCATCTATGAGGGAACGAGAGACGCCATCTATGAGGCGACGCGCCACGTCATCTATGACGTTATGCGCTGCGCCATCTATGACATGACGTCATCCATGAAGCTATGCGCGGCGCCATCTATGACATGACGTCATCCATGAAGCTTTGCGCGGCGCCATCTATGACATGACGTCATCCATGACGCTATGCACGACCCTGTCTATGATACTACGCGCGACGCCATCTATGACGCTATGTCCGACGTCATTTATGACTCGGCGCGGGCGCCATCTATGAGGCGACTCACGACGCCATCTACAACGTTATACGTGACGTCATCCATGACACTATGTGCGACGCTATCTATGACGCGACGCCATCTATGACGCGACGCCATCTATGACGCGACGCCATCTATGACGCGACGACATCTATGACGCGACGCAATCTATGACTTACAGCGTTGCCACTTCCACGGACTTTTAACCTCGTCTGTTTGTATGACTCTTTTAAATTTCCCTCGGGCAACAAAATTGAAAAATCATAAACTGTGCGCACCCACCACAGAGCCAAGTTTCGCCAGCCTCACTGCGATTATTAATTGTTTGATACCCGGTTTGTTCGCAGAGCCCCATTACCTTATACTCGAATACGTGATGTACGGGAAACTGCTGGCCTATCTGCGCGACCACCGCACCAGACAGGACTTCTACAACTTCAGCGAGGACTCCGCCGCGCTGACGTCCAGGGACTTAACCGTTTTCGGGTACTGCGTGGCCAGAGGCATGGAGTATCTCGCGTCGAAAAAGGTGAGCACGCTTCTACCGTTTCGTTTTGCCGGGGCCCGCTCCGATTGGGCCCAGCATATTCGACCCTCGCCCGACCGGAAATCGAATTAGGCTTAATAGCGGGTCGGGTCTAATCGCGGCTTATTAGATTCCGCCGGGCCTCGCCCTCTTCACGCTTTCGTTCGTGTCTTCGGGTTTTTGCGATGCTTCGTTAAATTCCTGTTATTTCTGCGGTTCGCAGGGACTTGTCACTGAATTCGCTGTTTACGCTCTTGTGTTTTGTATAGGCATTGTTTAATATCGTGGAATATTTATGTGAGGAATATAGAAAAACATTTTCGGTACAATCTCATTTTTCACGCGACGAACGTCGGAAAATTGGTTTTCATTTTTTTTAAACCACTGCGCAACGAATTGAAAAGTCTGAAAAAATTCTGAAGCCACTATCGCGACGGCATGTTATTACTATAAAAATATAGCGTTAGTATGATTTCTACTAGTATAAGAAATCCGCATTTTTGTGAGTCTTTTCGAAACTTTTTATTTTAACTGAAAAATCGGAAAAAATTCCCGGAAATGCGCTTCGACAGACGCGAGGCGTCACATTTTTTGTTCTAAATTTATGCAAGCATCTACGAAGAAAAATCGACCGAAAATCCATCGCGCGTACACGAGCGTGTAACTTTTGCGGATCCGTCGACCTTGACGGTCATGTGACAGACCGAAGGTCGTGGCTAAAAGAAGGCCGCGGTTCGTCGAACAGTTCGCCGGCGGTGTTTGTCTCTCAAATATTATCCGACCTGTCATAAAAGCCATGCCCGGAACGCGGCGTTATTCCGCGGCGACGGGAATTGGTGTCAGCGGGCGAAAATGTGGCTCGCGACCGACTCGGGAACAGTTGCAGCGACCACCCAGACCCGCGTTCGCGTAAAAGGCAATAAAACGGCATTAGCGGTAGCCCGCAAAGACGTTTGTATCAATTAAGTTCCGGCCTTTGTCCATGTTTGCTGGAAATTAACGACCCGCGCACTGCGGGGCCGCCTTTTTGGAACAGCCCCTTTCAAGGCAAGCTTTACGACCGCCTAACTCGAACCGAACAGTGTCGACGCGACGAATTTATTAGTCGCGAAGAGAATGTTTATTATTAACTAATGGAATCGATCGCTTTCGAAACTCGCGGCACCGTTCTGTCCAGGTTTCTCGATTCGAAACGCAATTCTATCTCAAAACGTGGTTGCCGGAAAATTAAGCTAGATTTCCAGTGGAAGTGGTGCGAGTGGGTCACATGACGCGTCACGGCTCCCTTGCAGCGGAGTGGGAGTGAGTTGCGCGACGCTCCGCGACTCCCTTGCAGCGGAGTAGGAATGAGTCACATGACGCTCCGCGGCTCGAGCGCAGCGGAGTGGGAGCGGCTCACGCGACGCTCCACGGCTCCAGCGCAGTGGAGTGGGAGTGACTCACGCGACGCTCCGCGACTCCCTCGCAGCGGAGTGGGAGTAGCTCACGCGACGCTCCGCGATTCCCTCGCAATAGAGTGGGAGTGACTCACGCGACGCTCTGCGGGACCCGCGCAGCGGAGTGGGGCGCGTCACGTGACCCACTCCCACTCGTCCGACTAGAAATCGAGCCGATCCTCGCGACTACGATGCTCCGGAGTCACTGCGATGTCATTTCGTGCGAAAATTTATGTTCGTATTTACGATCAGCGCCGTCCACTCGTTAACGTTTGATTATTCATAAGGTGGCTGCGAATAGTCCGAGAGCAACAGGAACTTTCGGGATCGCCAGAACATTCTGAGGCATATTTGTAGGCAAATTTTTCGAGGTATCGTTGTTGACCCCCGTCGCATTCTCACGGTTCGAGTTTCAATGATATGATTAGAATTCTCCAAAACTCCAGATTCCGGGGTTGCGATTAGCGTCGACATTGATCGCAGATGCCGGGAACAATGTAGCGGAATTTTAACGATCGCCGATTAATGATTCCGATTTCGCAGCGTGGAGCTGGCGCCCGGTGTGCCACAATGCGCGCGGATTCCCGGCATCGTCGTAACCTCGCGTCTCGACGCGGCTCGTTAAAAATACAGGACAAACATTTTTCTGCTTGATCTCGCGGCGCTTAATGGAGTTTCTTTCAGCGCTGTCGCCGCCACTTAACGGCTGACGTCGGGTGACATTCAACTTCATAAATTCGCTTCTAACTAGATATCCCCTCTGCCCCCTCCGCCGTCGTGCAGTTCTTGCGACTCGCTCGAATGGAATTCAGCTCATTGTGGACGTTTCAATCGCGCGGGGCCACCGCCGGCCGATTAGACTCTCCTATTTCAGACTCTTTCCTTTCCACGTTCGCGAGGAATTAAGGACTCCCCGAGTCGCTATAATTGTCTGGCACTGAAACGAGGCGCGTAAAATTCTGTGTGTCGACGCGAACGAAGACATTGGAGGTTATTCAGACAGCCGCGCGACTCTTATTTCCATCGCGGGGGTAATAATCGACGCAGTATTCGCGGAGATAATGCTCGGCGTAATAGGAATCCTGGACAATGACGCGAACACCGAATAAACACGACAGTAATTACTTTCTTGAAATGTCACATTACAGGCACACGGCGCGCGATCGTTTCAAAGAATCACCGCGAGATACCTAATTGTAGTACGCAGGCAGAACAATGATTGCGCGTCGTTTGCAAAATTGCCGGCCGTGCTCGTCGGTGCGTCGGCGACAGTTTTTTTTTTTATAACCGCGAGACGTTCGATGCTTCCGCGAAATTCATTGTCGCAGTCCAAGGGACGTGGTCGAGGGTTTCTTGATTGCGAAGAGATCATTTGTATTCATTGTTTGTTACTGAAATTTCTCTTGAGAATAATATCATGCTCTGCCTTTTTTTATTAACGATTATTCGAAACTAAAGGAACGTTTTTATTGTTTCTGATTGTACAATTGATTAGTACTTGGTTGGTTCTTGATTGGTTCTTGGTTGATTCTTGATTAATTCTTGATTAGTTCTTGGTTAGTTCTTGGTTAGACCGGTTGATTCTTGATTAGTTGCTGGGTGATTCTTGATTACATCTTTGTTAGTTCTTGATCACTTCTTTGTTAGTTTTTGATTATTTCTTCATTAGTTCTTGATTACTTCTTGTTTGCTTTTTGTTTGGTCCTTGATTCATTCTGGGTTGGATCTTGATTAGTTCTTGATTGATCCTTGGTTGCTACTTGATTAGTTCTTGGTTGTTTCTCGATTAGTTCTTGGTTAGACCTTGATTAGTTCTTGATAAATTCTTGATTAGTTCTTGGTTAGTCCTTGATTATTTTGATTGGTTTTTGATTGGTCCTTGATTCATTCTTGGTTGGTTAGTGATTTCTTCTTGGTTGTATCTTGATTAGTTCTTGATAAATTCTTGATTAGTTCTTAGTTAGTCCTTGATTAATCTTTTGTTAGTTCTTGATTACTTATTGGTTGGTTTTTGGTTGGTCCTTAATTAGTTCTTGGTTGTTTCTTGATTAGTTCTTGGTTGTTTCTCGATTAATTCTTGGTTGTTTCTCGATTAATTCTTAGTTAGTTCTTGATTAGTTCTTGATTAATTCTTGATTACTGCTTGGTTAGTTCTTGATTACTGCTTGGTAAGTCCTTGATTACTCTTTTGTTAGTTCTTGATTACCTATTGGTAGGTTTTTGGTGATTAGTTCCTGGTTGCTTCTTGATTAGTTCTTGATTATTTCTTCGTTAGTTCTTGATTATTTCTTAATTACTTCTTCGTTACTTCTTAGTTACTTCTTGATTTGTTCTTGATTAATTCTTGTTTGATTCTTGATAACTTCTTTGCTAGTTCTTAAGTAATTCTTGATTAGTTCTTGGTTAGTCCTTGATTACTTTTTCGTTTGTTCTTGATTACTCCTTGGTTGATTCTTGTTTGATTTTTGGTAGATTCTTTATTGGTTGTTGGTTAGTTCTTGATTACTTCTTGAGTACTTCTTGATTACTTCTTGATTAGTTCTTGGTTACTTCTTGGTTGGTTCTTGATTGATTGTTGATTAGTTTTTTTGTTAACCCTTGATTATTTTTTCGTTAGTTCTTGATTACTTCTCGGTTGGTTCTTGCTTGATTTTTGGTAGATTTTTTATTGGTTCTTGGTTAGTTCTTGATTATACTTTTTGTGTACTTCTTGGTTACTTCTTGATTGGTTGGTTGGTTCTTGGTTGGTTCTTGATTAGTTCTTGATTGTGTCTTGGTTGGTTCTTGATTAGTTCTTGATTACTTCTTGGCTACTTCTTGATTACTTCTCGGTTGGTTCTTGATTATCTCTTGTTTAATTGATTGATTATCTCTTGTTGTTAATTCTTGCTTACTTCGTAGTTACCTCTTGATTAGTTCTTGGTTGGTTGTTGGTTGGTTCTTGGTTGATTCTTTATTAATTATTAGTTAGTGTTTGATTACTTCTTCGTTACTACTTGAGCACTTCTTGGTTACTGCGTGATTACTTGATCGCATCTTAATTAATTCTTATCTACATAACGTCGAGGTTAAATCTCCACTGAAATAAAAGATATCTGAACATCTAGCTCATCCTATTCCCTTAATTCATCTTACTATTCGCCGGTATTAGCCTCGGCCAGTCCAATCCTTACAGAATATAAACTATCTAACCCGATCAGCCAACGGTCCATGAAAATTCCGATGCGCTGGACCGCGACACGTCCCTGCTTGCCATTCCGCTCGCATCAAGCTGCGACGATGCTGGATCAGCGGTAGCGAGCACGAAGCCGATTACAAAATGGTAAATAGTTAGGGATCATCGACGACCGGTTATGATTCGCCTGGTAGATGCATGTTGCCGAGTGGCTCCGGGCGTCAAGCAGCCGGCAAACGAAGCCACGATTGGAATCGGTGGATCCTGCTCCGCGGACGACTTAAGGCCGGGCCGTGTCCGGACGTCGATTTCAATCAACGATTATACATACAGCTTCGTAGAAATGCCCATCGATACACATTGTTACGGTTAATTGAAATTGGAGGCCGGTACACAAGATCCAATCAGGAATATGGTGGTTTCGCTTGTTTCGCTTCGTCATCCATGTCGTTACTCGGTACAGTTGTTGTTCACACCTTTCCGCATAAGCCTTGCAAGGCGGTGGCCGGGTCGATTTTGACTCGGTGCATTTAAATCGTTCTTTCAATTATTCAATTTCCGGTACACGATGCTGGAGAGAATCGAGTGTGCAATTTTCAGTCGGAACATCTTTTTTTATGAGAAAAGAATTCTTTTTGTTGTCAGAAAAATTAGTCGATGAAATAAATCGCGCATGCATCATTAACGAATCGATTTCCATCCTCGTATTTGTTATTATTAGACCGCGGATTTTACGCATTTGTGGGAGAAGAAAAATTATAAAATGAAATATAATATATAAAGTATAAGTAAAATAATATATAATATATAAAATATAAAAAACAAAACAGAAGATACAATA